TTGCCATCAAGAGGAGCCCGCCCAGACAGTCTGCCTGGGTGCAGGTCGTCAGCTGATTCATCCTGGCACTGGGACCCGCAACGCATCATATCTGAGCAGTTGTTTTGTGTGGTTTGCATACTTCAGTTGCCGGCCACACGTACAGTGCAGGAGAAGGGGATTATGCATGCTTGCATTGTAGACATTCCCACTATAGAACTTTGCTAAAGAATAAATAACAGAAGTGGAAGGGAGCTTGGGGGACTTCTAATCCAACTCTCTGCTCATACAGGAGACCCTATACCATTTCAGACAAATAGTTGTCTAGTCTCTTCTTTAAAACCTCCAATGATGGAGCATCAACAACTTTTGGAGGCAAGTCATTCCACTGGTTCTATTTTTTTCTTAGATCTAGGTTGCTTCTCTCTTTGATTAGTTTCCATCTTCTTGTCCTGCCTCTAAGTGCTTAGGAAAATAGACTGACCCCCTCTTCTCTGTGACAAGCCCTCAGATATTAGAACATTGCTATCATGTTGTCTCTAGTCTTTCTTTTCATTAAAACAGAGACCTAAATGTACACCTGTAGCCCTTTTAACACTACATAAAACAACTATTGCTGCTTGTATCCTTCCTTGTTTACTGATTAACATTTTAGATGTGAGATGGCAATAGGTCAGAGCATCTTTTTTGCATACAAAAGTGCCAAATCTAATGCCCAGGACCTCCAGGCATGGTTTGGAAATACAAGCTAAAAAGGGATTCTGAAGGTAGTTACTGTCAAAGTAATGAAGTGGGTGAAACCAATCATTTGAGTATTTTTTGAACTCAGTTCCATAGGCTAGTTATAGCATTCATCCCTTTGGCACTACACTTAGCATTCCTCAAAATCTTACTATAGGTACTCCTCAGTTTATGACCAAAATTGAGCCCAAAATTTATGTTGCTAATTTATGACCTTTCTTGCCACAGCTGTTAAGTGAATCACTGCTGTTGTTCAGTTAGTAGCATAGTTGTTAAGTGAATCTGGCTTCCCCATTGTCTTTGTCAAAAAGGCATAAAAAGGGAGGACATAATCCTAGGACACTGCAAAGGTCGTAAATATGAATCAGTTGTCTGAATTTTGATCACATGACAATGGGATGCTGCAATGGTCATAAGTGTGAAAATGGTCATAAGTCATTTTTTTCAATGATGCTGCAACTTTGAATGGTCACTAAATAAACTGTTGTAAGTCGAGGACTACCTGTCCTCAAGTTCATTGGCTATCTCCCATCTCTACTTCAAAAATAATTGGTGTTCTCATTCTATCCCCAGCATGTTTACTGCCAAAACATGCCACTTGTGGCTAAAATGCCAGTTAGACAATTTTCTTTTGAGAGCAAGAAAATGTTGCCTGCTCCATCTCCTTTAAATTTTACTGGTCAATTTCAGGATGAAGCATCCAATTATTCATCTTGACAGACTCCAAGTTTTCTTGATATCTTTTGCTGCTTGATTCTTGGTGGCTGCCATAGAAATGGGGTGGGGTGGGGGAATTTGGTATTTGGGGGAAAGTTTGTTGGAGTGAGAAGACATTTCTGGGTGAACTAAAAAGGAGGGGAAGCTTTCCTACTTACTGCGCAACTACATAGACTTATCTCTACTAGGCCAAGGTCAACCATCTTGGCATACCAGATGTGTGAGAAACCACCTGAAGATGTACCCCACATATTATACACACCTCAGATTGGATGGCCAGTCTGGACTCCTGGGGGAGGGAACTTGGGATAACTTTCAATATGTACTTTCTGTGCCTATTTGCCTCAGATCTTGCTTTCCTTTTGTTGCTATCACTTAAAACTTAGTAAAAATACTTTTTCTCTATTTTAATGAAGTTGAAGGAATTCTTTCTTTGGTTTTGAATGAGGCACAGCTGATACATCTAGAGAACCATTTACTTTCCTCAAAGAGCTGTTTTTTTTCCAAAGTTGCGGAATGCAGCTTTTGATTTACACACTCTTCTTTTATTTCCTTCAACAATCCTGCAGCCTCACAGAGCAATAGATTAATCTCTTGTCTTCTAGAACAGCCATAGCAACAGCATCAGTATTTGTCTGTTATCCTGCCCCCTAGGTTCCAATTTAGTGCAGCTTGGGCACAAAGAAACCTCTGTCCACACTGAACAGAATGATTATTTGGAATCAATTCTGTTAAAAAAACAAAAGTTGTTTTTAAACGAATCTGGCTTCCCCATTGACTTCATTGTCAGAAGGTCACAAAAGGGGATCATAAGACACTGGAACACTGCAACCCTCAATAAATACATGCCAACTGTCAAACATCTGAATTTTGATCACATGACCACAGGGATGCTGCAATGGTTGTAAGTGTGAAAAATGCTCATAAGTCACTTCTCTGAGTGCCATTGAAGCTGCAAAGGGTCACTAAACGAATGGCTGTAAGTCAAGGACTATCTGTACTATAAACTCTTGTGATCTATAAATCCCTTTGCTTAACATGATTTATGCTTTTGAATCTGTTTTATGACTCAGAATCTGCTCCAGAAATTATCCAAGAAGTTTGAGTGAGAATCTTCTAGTTTCCCATTCTCCAAGTTAGAGGCTTCTATCTATCCCTGAAGGAAAGAATCCAGCAACTTTCTATTGTATATTTAGCCATTATATTTGCAATATTGCAGTCTGAAAACATTTTCTCCAGTATTTTTATAAGATCCATTATGATGATTCCTGTATAATTTGCCTATAAACTTGATTTTATTAGTGGGGAATTACTCTGAGCATTAAATAAGATAAAATGCCTATGGAATAAAAATAATAAAACTCGAAATAAATCAAGGACAGTCTTTCCCATGCTGAGTGTGTACTATTACTAAACTGATAGACAGAGATTCCTTTTTAAAAAAAATACACAAATGTTTAAAGCCACAATGGATCATAATGTTGTCATTATAGGAAAACTATAATCCATTCAGTAATATTTGCTACCAGAGGACAATAGCTATTGACAGCAGGGTGAGACTGCATATATATTTTAGTGTTTTTCCATGACAAATGGCAAAATTGTCAGTTAATGGAACAAAAACTTCTTGCCAGGATTAGAAAAACTTAAGGCTAGCTAAACATGCTGGTATCTCCTAGCATATAAAGCAAAGTTTTCAAAGGCAAAAAAACACCCACAATGTAAATGTGGCAAGTTCCAAAGAAACTCTTGTTTCCATCTTTAGCAGCATGAGGACAACATCAAAAAGTTTTGTAATCCTGAGTTTAAAAAACAAGAACTGTCCTCATAAATCAGGCAAATTGGAGATGTTCATTGATGATCACTAAAAATATTCCATTTTTTTCTGCAGCAAACTTCGGCATCAAGCACAAAGTGAAAGATTTGGATACAAAGAGGTAAATAAGCAATTTGAGTCATTTTCTCTTTTTCTCTTTCAAGTTTACAAGTGGGTGAAAGGAGCTTAAATGTCACCTTCTTGACACATTGTAAAAGTTTTGTTTGTAATTTTGAGATGCAAAAACCACTGCAAATTTATCTTTAAAAATATCTGGATATTCTCATCTTCCTGGGGAGCTGGTATCTAGGATTTATTTATTTGCTTGTTTATTTATATTCTGTCTTTATTATTTTTATAAATAACTCAAGGTGGCAGACACCCACAATGTTCCTCCCTTCTTCTATTTTCCTCACAATAAACCTGTAAGGTAAGTTGGGCTGAAAGAGAGTATCCCAAATTCACCCAGCTGGCTTTCTTCCCTAAGGCAGAACTAAAACTCAGTCACCTGGTGATGGACCCAAAGTCACGCAGCTGACTTTCACACCTGAGGCAGGACTAGAATTTAGGCTGGCATAGATGATTTCATCCTCATCCTATGACTTTCTGAAACATGCACACCTATGCTTCGCCCTAGTCTAGATCATGCCAGCTTTATGTCAACTTGTAAAGCATTCCTGGCCTGCTCTTGAGTTGCCATCAGCACAAAGCCATCTATGCTGGCCTGATGTTATGGGGTTGCATATATACAGAAGTATCCTGCCGAGGCCTTTGCAAGACACATCAAAGCACATGAACTCTGGTGGAATAAACCAAGAAACTCTACTTGAATAAAACAAGTTTCTAAGAGCTCCTGCTTGTAACTCTGCATTTAGTGCTAATATATTAATCTGAAACACTAAACCCTGCTATTCAGTTGCCCTCTAATTCAGTGGTTCAGTCCCCCTTGGTGCTACAAGCTCATCCTCGGTGCCCCCCACCCAGGGGTGGGATTCAAATTCCTGTGGGCATAGCCTAATTTGAAGGTGTGGCTTGCTGGTCACGTGACTGGGTGAGCGTGGCTTACTGGTCATGTGACTGGGTGGGCATGGCTTGCTGGCTGGGCGTGGCTTGCTGGTCACATGCCCTCTAATCCAGTGGTTCCCAAACTTTTTCAGTCCACCACCCCCTTGGTGCTACAAACTCATCCTCGGTGCCCCCCACCCAGGGGTGGGATTCAAATTTCTGTGGGCATGGCCTAATTTGAAGGTGTGGCTTGCTGGTCACGTGACTGGGTGGACGTGGTTTGGTGGTCATATCACTGGGTGGGCATGGCCAGGTGACTGGCAAATCAAATACAAGTGGTCACTTAATGGCTGGCTGTTTAGCAAGTGTTCTAATTTATGACTGGCCTCCCCAGAGCTACTTGACCTGTTTTTGGAGTTTTGACAGCCATGCACACACACACACTCCCTTCTAACCCTGCTGGAGCAGGTCATTGGACTAGAATCAGCAAAGCATCTCTGATTAGATTCTAGTAGTGAATAGAATCTAATCAGAGATGCTTTGCCGATTCTTGTTGATTTGTTTTATTTGTATTTCCTTGTTTTATGTTGCTGAATTGCATTGACATGTGGTGTCCCTTCTTGTGCATAGTTCAGAAACTTTTGTGATTCTTTGTGATTCTTTTACCGACCTCTGGCTTTGCTCTACTTTTCAAACATGCTGCCACTGCTGCGTTCTAGGTGCCAGCCCCGCAGATCCACCCCATTGAGCCTGCTACACCAGAGGGACTTGCCCAAGCAAATCTGAGCAGAGGGGTCCACCAAGTCAATGGGGTGAGCCTGAGAGAGGGAAAGAGAGAGAAAAGAAAGAGAGAGAGAGAGAAAGAGAGAAGGAAGAAAAAAGGGAAAGAAAGAAAAAGGGACAAAGAAAGGGGGGATGGAAGGAAGGGACAGAAAGAAAAAGACATAAAGAAGGAGGGAGGGAGAAGAAAGATAATGAGATATCTATTCTAGTCCAATCACCTGCTCCAGTAGGGTTAGAAGGTGGTGTGTGTGTGTGTGTTCTTGTAATTTACCAGTACATTTTGGTTTTGCCTTCTTCAGAATTGGCACTGTAATACATTTGGGAAAAGTAATTTTTTAGGGTGGAGATCTGGTCCAATGGATCCTGTTTAAAGCCTCAACAAAATGTGAGAGCTTCCTGATAGTCTTGACCGTGTTTCGTCCACAAAACCTTTAATGGAAGCTAAAGATGTTTCAATGTGCTGGCAAAGATGTTTCAATGTGGAAAAGGGCCTCAGTCTAAACTAGGCCTCATTTCAATCTGATACATCAGGTCTTTCTTTCTCTCTCTCTCTCTCTCTCTCTCTCCCCCTCCCTCCCTCCCTGACTGACTTTGCTGTACTTTCCTGATGTGCCTGCGGAGCTGGCGCCTCGAACATGGATGGATGGATAGACAGACAGAGAGAGACAGATAGGTAGGTAGGTAGATATATTGATAGGTAGGCAGGCAGGCAGACCTTTTGGATGAATGTATGGATAGGTAGGTAGGCAGGCAGGCAGGCAAGAAGACAGACCTTTTGGATGGATGGGTGGATAGATAGGTAGGTAGGTAGATAGGAAGATGGATGAATGGATGGATGGATGGCTAGATAAATGGGTATAGAGGTAGGTGGGTAGGTAGATTGATACATAGATAGATGTATGGATGGATGGGTGGATGGGTGGGTAGGTAGATAGGTAAGTAGACAGACAGACAGACAGACAGACAGACAGACAGACCAATAGACCTTTTGGATGGATGGATGGAAGGTAATCCACGGATGACATTGTCTGTTGCACCGGAGTAGTGCAAGGGGCTCAATGGGATGAGCCTGTGGAGCCAGTGCCTCGAACGCTCTCCTGCTGCCTCTTAGTGCCCCCTGCCGGCCCCCTTGCCTCTTAGCATCCCCCAAGGCATCCCACCCCCCCACCTCCCAGAGGGCAGTACTGGCTACTTTGGGAACCACTGCTCTAATCTATCATTTGTTGGAAACTCTGAAGCTTTTGTTGACTGCCTGTTACAGAAAAGGTATCTGATTCACTAGAGTATGTTTACATTTAGAAACTGAGGCTACATAGTCAGGATCTGCTCACATATCTCTTCCAACCACACCCCCCATCTGCTGCTTTCCAGGCACAGTGGGATTACAACTCCTGGAATTACCAAACTGATATTGACTATGCAGAAATGATTAAACACCATTTAAAATTTATCATACCAATAAAATTATCTTGCTAGATTGGAACAAGAAATCTCATGCCTTTTTGGGGAGTGGGCAATTATCCTGCAACCAACTATGCTGCAAAACAGAGCCTGAAGATCATAAATATCAAATAATGTGAGGAAATGATCGAAATCATGCACTATGCTCAAGGGAGAACAGGAAGGCTTGAGAAGTGAGAAACTCTACTAATGTGAATAATGCAAATATAAAGAATTGTATAGTCTGGGCCAGATCTCCCCAACTCAGAAAGTCTGTCCGGGGTTTTGTTAGAGTTTCTGAATTAACCAATATTGTTGATGTTTAGCAGCTGCTGTTATTTGTCTTTGCAATGTTCAATGGGATTGGCTGCTTTGATCATTCAGCACCAGCATTCTGATACTAATCTGTTGCTTTCCTTCCTTCCAGGTGGTTTTGAAAGATGATGCCAAAAAACTAAATTTACATGGGGTGAGTAAACCCACAGATAAATCAAAAGAGTTGATTTCTCAGCAAAAATGAAAGCAAGACATCCTCATGAATCTATAGTTTGAACATATACAGGAGTGGTTATGCAAATATATGTCTGCAGGAGAGAGGTTTGTTGTGGGTTAGCTTGGGATTCTGTCCTGGCGGTACCATATTTTTATAAATGTGATTAGGAGAGAGAAGGGATGTTTAGAAAATCTGTAGATAACCCAAAATTCAGGGGTGGAATTCAAATTTCTTAACCAGTTCTGTGGGCATGGACTAATTTATGGTTTGGTGGTCATATGACTGGCCGAGCGTGGCTTGGTGATCACGTGACGGCTGGCCGTGGCTTGGTGTTCACGTGACCGGACAGGCACGGCTTGGTGATCACATGTCTATCTGGGCATGGTTTGGTGATCAATAATTACTTAAATAATTTTTAGTAATATTTTTAGTATACGTTTTGTTTTTATTAATCATAAAAACAGTAGAGATACTGAATACCTGAATACATACATAAATGAAAATGTTTTTGTTACACAACTGTTGTTACATATTGATACTTAAGTTTCTGCTTTGCTTTTTTCTAATAGCAAAAAGCAAAGAAGAAAGAAACAGAGGTGTCAATATCTAACAATAATAGTACAAGAATTTTGATTTATGTTTTGATTTATTTTTTTAGTATCTGTTTTGTTTTTATGATTAATAAAAACCAAAACAGATACTAAAAAAATACATGAAGAAATTAAATAAAGCAATTTACCAAAAATTAGGCAGGCAACTTGGCTAGCCAGCTATGCTGGGGTTCTCCTTGGTCTTCTTGGAGCTTGCTGTGGCGAGGACAGCTGGGAGGCTGGCCCAGGAGTCGGCACTTGACCAAGGCTGGTGGCAGCAGAAGAAGATAGGCAACCGGTGGGGCTTGCTGCCTTTGCCTCCTCACTCACCAATTGGTAGTGCAAGGCAAGAAGCAACAACGGTGCAGTGGGCCATGGGCAGGAGAAGATGGTGCCAGCTGAGCAAAGATGGTGGCCAGCCAAAGATGGCGGCTACCGGCTGGGCAAAGCAGGTAGCAAGGGCGGCTGGGTGGCCCAGGAGTCAGCAGTTGACTGGGGCTGGCAGCAGCAGGAGGAGGTAGATTGCTGCCTCCTCACTCACCAATCGGTGGTGGAAGGCAAGGCAGCAACAATGGAGGGCCGCGGGAGAGGGAAGATGGCGGTGGGCGAGGCAGGCAGCATTGGCGAGGAGGGCTGCAGTCCGGGAATCATTGTTGGGACTCAACCGGGGCAGCGTCAGGTAAACGACCAGGTTTTGGTTGTAGCTCACTCACTGATCCACGTCTTTGGTAATGGCGGCTAGGGGAGGCAGGCTGGATGAAGCAGGCAGGCCTGGGAGGCAGGCTGGGCAAGGCAGTCCAGGAGGGTGAGGGCAGCTAGCAGCAGTGACTGCTTGCCCTCACTCATCCCAATCAAGCAAGAGGGCAGAAGGCAGGCAACGATGGCTGGCTGGCTGGCTGGCTAGCTGGCTCTTCTGCTGCTGGTGCTGGTGCTGGGAGCGATGGCGCCAGATAGGAAAATGTAGGAAGTGTAGCGCACATGCACTATAAGTACTACTAGTGACTGGGCGGGGCATAACAGGGCAGGCAAGGGAGAATGCAGTCAGTTATTGTTGTGCATGCGCACAATGTTGCGCATGCGCAATAATGGCTGACTGAGCCGGGAACTGAGGAGTGAGCGGAGCAGGGCTGGCAGCAGGGGAGAATGCCATCCCTGATTGTTGTGCATATGTGCAATGTCGTGCAATAATGAATGACTGGGCCAGGAATGACGGGTGGGGGAGAATGCGTCAATGATTGTTGCGCATGCATGCAAATGTCATGCATGCACAATAATGAAAAACTGTTCTGGGAGTTGGGCAGCAGGTGGAGAGGGGCGGGGCCAGCCAGGGGCCTGTTTTATCGGTTCTTTGAACTACCAGGAATGTTAACAACCGGTTCTACTGAACTGGTGTGAACCAGTAGAATCCCACCCCTGCCAAAGTTGGGGGTGATTGTTAACATCTCATAAAACAAAATATCTTCAAAAAGATTTCAATAAAGTTTACTTTTGAGTCCTTTCCAGCAAAATTTAGTTCAATGATGAGAAATGTATGGTGCCGCACTTAAATAGAAAAAATGAAGTGTGCAGGTACAAAACAGATGGTACCTGGCTCAACACAACCACATTTATGGCTGTTTTTAATATGTAGGGTGAAATGAAAAGCATTTTACAACACTTGTGCTGAAAACTAGCATACACTTCCAGTTTGTTTGTTTTTGGGGGGAGGGGGGGAATGCACCATAGCAAACAATGGGTTTGCTTAATGACCATGGAATTTATGGTTACAACTACCCCATTTGCTTAACGAATACCACAAAAAACATAATAAAATGGTAGTAACATTTTATGGCTGCTATGATTTACAACCATAACATGCAGGTTCCATTAAGTAAAAACTCGAAGACTATCTATTCAGTGAGATCCATATAAGGAGGATTTTCCTGACTGACAACTGTTAAGTAGTGGTAGGTCCAGCATCTGGAGTCATGGGCATTCCATCACTCTGAATTTGAAACAATAGTTGGACAATTGTTGGGGATAGTCTGAAAATTCCTGATCTGGACAGAGAGTTGGACTAGGAGACCTTCGAAATTGCTTCCAATTGTACAATTTTATCATTCCATTTAATGATCAGCTAACAAACCAAAATCCACAGCAGAAAACAAAAAAGGAAGATGTTCCGGACTAGCAGGCTCATAGCCTGCAAATCTGATTGGCCCGCTGAAAGCCGATCGTGATTGGTCGACATAGACTGATGCGATTGGCCAGTAAACGGGCTGCCGCGATTGGCCCTGCCAAGAGCGGCAAACTCAAATCACCTTCATTGGCTACCTAGCCGCAGCCAGCCCTATATAAGGGGCTGCTGCGGCTGGGGTTAGTTGCTCAGATCTGAAGTCACAAATAAAGAGCTGTTGTTGCTATCTGAGTCTTGCCTCCGTTCTTGAACCGTCCTCCAGATCTAACAGAAGAAACCCAATATGACAACATAGTTGAGTGGAGAATTGTATATAGTTGAGTGGAGAATTGACAAAAGGTCACACTTTAGCATCTCTAGCTTAAAAGATCAGAAAGCTCAGGGTCAGGCAGATTATACCCAGGGAATATGTGTTATCTCTCTGAGTCTGTTGCAAGAAACATAGGTTATCTGAACAGCCTGTTTAATCCAGTTATTAACATATTTTCCAGTTTTTCTTAATACATTCTAATAGAATACACTGAGTTGCAAAAATCATAATCAAGGTTAACACTAATCAGGCTTAAATGTTGTACAAATAGAGCTATGGCTTCTTCACCTAAAAGGTTTAGATAAACAAAGCCTTAAAGGATTCTGAACTCTGAAACTGAATGCCTCTTATTGTCTTTCCAAACAAAAATATCTTCTGATAACCCATAAGAGCATCATAATTTAGGAGAGCGGTTAGAGATTCATATTATTACCACTATTGTTGAAATCAGAAATCTTCGACAATCTACTGCAAATTACTTTAAGTTTGTATGCCTTAATCTACCTGGTAAATGGTAGGGAATATCTTTTCCAGAAATGTTCAAGAACTGTTGTATGCTGGAATCTACTAGCCTTCTCCAACTGATCCAATGTTGGAACTGCCATGTCCAGAATACCCAACCAACACAACCAAGCTAGTTGGAAGTTCTAGATATGCAAAACTCATAAATCTAGAAGACATTAAACTGGGAAGGCTAGATTAGATTACAGATTATCAGAGTTGGAAGGGACTTTGTAGGCCATCTAATCCAACCCCCTGCCCAAGCAGGGCATTCTGGCAAATGGTAGTACAATATCTTCTTGAAAGTCTCAAGTGATGAAGCTCTTATAACTTCCAAAGGCAAGCTGTTCCATTGTTTGAGTGTTCTCACTGTCAGGAAATTTCTCCCTATTTCTAGGTTGAATCTCTCCTTGAACAGTTTCTATCCATTATTCCTTATCAGGCCTTCAGATGCTTTGCAAAATAGCTTGATCCATTCCTCTCTGTGGCAGCCCCTCAAATAGTATCATGTCTCCCCTGGTCCTTCTCTTCACTAGACTAGCCAGGCCCAGTAATGCTGATAAACCCATAATAAAATATGATACACAACAATTTCCTAGAACTATTTAGGCTATAACAGATGTTCCCTCAGATCTATACAACCCCACATTCTCAGAAGGTTTTATAGACTGCAAATATACTTCCTGGATTGTGGAAGACCCATTTGTAGACCGATGCTATTGAATAAACCCAGATACCTGCTGATCTGCCTTGATATCCAAGGAAATTTGAACCATGAGCTAAGTAATTTTGCATCCAATAAATCATGATTAGAAGCAAATGACTCATCAGACTTTGCCTCTTGAACTCTCTCATTCTAAGCTTTTCCTTCTGTTTCCCACCAAAAGTATTGATCTGCCCCCTCCCCCCCAAAATCAGCCATAGTTTGCTGTGAAATCTACAACAGATAAGCATGTGTAATTCCTGCTTTGAGGGGCTCTTCAGTTTCTGAGCTTGGTGGTTTTCTTGCAGACATGTTATTACCCAAACTAAGTAGCATCCTCAATGTTAGTCTACATTATAACTAGTACATATGATGTTACCTAGTTTGGGTAATGAAACCTGCAAAAAAAACCAAGATCAGAGAGTACCAAGGAGTCCTCCCTTTCAACCCTGAGCTACAGATATTCTCCTTTATTGATTCCTGCTTTGTAATGTTTGCCCATTCTCTCCTCCTCCTCTTTCTCCGCAGCAGACTTGTGCCGTCTGCCTGGAAGACTTTAAAGTGAAAGATGAACTGGGAGTGTTGCCATGCCAACATGCCTTCCACAGAAAGTGAGTAGATGCCAAAGACAGCCCCAAAAAGCTGTGTTGTGCCTCTCGTTTTAGCAAGCAACCGCAATATTCATTCAGTATCCGGCATGCCGGTGGTGGAGAAGAGGAGATGGGCACCCAGGATGATAAAGAGGGAGGCTCTTTGTTGTATTTTGAGATATTTGAACCAAGGACAGCAAATGGGGTAGGAGCACAGACTTTGAATTAAATACATAAAAACCTATCAGAGCTAATTCATCACACTTGGGAATTGTGCCAGGATGCTGTAGCCAAGACCCTGAAGCAAACAATGAAGCCAAGAACATCTAGGCTTAGTCTTATTTTGTCTTCAGAGTTCACTTGAATTGCGGGGGGAGGCATTTGGACTCAGCTCCAAAGTGGGAAGGATGGGCGAGGTGGATCAGGGAAGAAGAAAAAAATGATACTTCTAAGGCAGGGGGAGGGGAATATTAATTTTCCCAAGGGATCAAATGAGAAATTGGGACTGTTGTGGAGCACCAACCAATAGGGCTGTGAAGGTGCATAGGCACACACATATGTAGGCAAGGACAGTCAAAGTGCCAGATGTGGCCCAGGGACCATAAAATGGCCAGATCTGTTCTAAAGAGATGCAAATCTAATGAAGGATACATCTTCTGCATCTTCTCTTTCAGGACAGGACTCTGTTTTGCAAATATGCAGTAGATCTGATTTAGAAGCAATATTTTTAGAGTGATATGTCTATGGAGATTATCAGTCAACTTGGTTATGGTTGTTCCAAAGGTACTTTTTCAAAAGGCAACTGGACTTTATTTTTCCTTGAAGATGTTGCACTTTTCATCCAAGAAGCTTCTTCAGTTCTGACTGAATAGTGGAGAATGGAAGGATTTACACTGCTCAAAAAAAAATAAAGGGAACACTTAAACAACACAATGTAACTCCAAGTCAATCACGCTTCTGCGAAATCAAACTGTCCACTTAGGTAGCAACACTGATTGACAATCAATTTCACATGCTGTTGTGCAAATGGAATAGACAACAGGTGGAAAGCAGAGGCAGTTAGCAAGACATCCCCAATAAAGGAGTGGTTCTGCAGCTGGTAACCACAGACCACTTCTCAGTTCCTATGCTTTCTGGCTGATGGTTTGGTCACTTTTGAATGCTGGCAGTGCTTTCACTCTAGTGTAGCATGAGAACGGAGTCTACAACCCACACAAGTGGCTCAGATAGTGCAGCTCATCCAGGATGGCACATCAATGCGAGCTGTGGCAAGATTTGCTGTGTCTGTCAGTGTAGTGTCCAGAGCATGGAGACGCTACCAGGAGACAGGCCAGTACAGCAGGAGACGTGGAGGAGGCCTTAGGAGGGCAACAACCCAGCATCAGGACCGCTACCTCCACCTTTGTGCAAGAAGGGACAGGAGGAGCACTGCCAGAGCCCTGCAAAATGACCTCCAGCAGGCCACAAATGTGCATGTGGCTGCTCAAACGGTCAGAGACTCCATGAGGATGGTATGAGGGCCCAACATCCACAGGTGGGGGTTGTGCTTACAGCCCAACACCATGCAGGACATTTGGCATTTGCCAGAGAACACCAAGATTGGCAAATTCGCCACTGGCGCACTGTGCTCTTCACAGATGAAATCAGGTTCACACTGAGCACATGTGACAGACATGACGGTCTGGAGACACCGTGGAGACCGTTCTGCTGCCTGCAACATCCTCCAGCATGACCAGTTTGGCAGTGGGTCAGTAATGGTGTGGGGTGGCATTTCTTTAGGGGGCCGCACAGCCCTCCATGTGCTTGCCAGAGGTAGCCTGACTGCCATTAGGTACCGAGATGAGATCCTCAGACCCCTTGTGAGACCATATGCTGGTGTGGTTGGCCCTGGGTTCCTCCTAATGCACAATAATGCTAGACCTCATGTGGCTGGAGTGTGTCAGCAGTTCCTGCAAGACGAAGGCATTGATGCTATGGACTGGCCCGCCCATTCCCCAGACCTGAATCCAATTGAACACATCTGGGACATCATGTCTCGCTCCATCTACCAACACCACAGTCTGTCTAGGAGTTGGGGGATGCTTTAGTCCAGATGTGGGAGATCCCTCAGGAGAACATCTGCCATCTCATCAGGAGCATACCCAGGCTTTGTAGGGAGGCCACACACACTACTGACCCTCATTTTGACTTGTTTTAAGGACATTACAACAAAGTTGGATCAGTCTGTAGTGTTTTTTTCCACTTTAATTTTGAGTGTAACTCCAAATCCAGACCTCCATGGATTGCTAAATTTGATTTCCATTGATAATTTTTGTGTAATTTTGTTGTCAGCACATTCAACTATGTAATGAACAAAGTATTTAATAAGAATATTTCATTCATTCAGATCTAGGATGTCTTATTTTTGTGTTCCCTTTATTTTTTTGAGCAGTGTATATTCCTTGCAGTCTTCACTTGGAGGTTTACCTGTGTAGTTAGGATTATAGATTTAGGGTGAAATAATCCTGTTGTTTGTCCCACCACTTCTCCATAACACAACTCAAAGTGACTTGGAGAGAGTCACTAAGATGTTTCCGATCTGAGCATATACCAGGCTCAAATATGCTTAGCTTTAATTATTGCAGGATCAGATGTTCTCCCTGATATCCATGCTACTGACAACAGCAGCTGGGGAAGGGACTTTTCAGTTCATACCTCATCTGAAATCAGCATGGATGGCTGTTGCTTTAAGCTTAACTGGTGTCACACGAAAGTCCGGATATGAAAGATTTAACCTGAGCTTGTTCCTGTTTCTCGTTAAAAGGAACAGAAAGTTGGATAATTGCTGGGCTAAAAGCTGGTTGAGAGTGAATTACAAATTCATTTTAGGAGTTTTACTTCCTTCCTTTCCTTCCTTCCTTCCTTCTTATAACCAAGTCTGGATGGCTCCCAATCAAAAGTAAAAACACCATAAATACTATAACAAAATTATAAAACTAAGCAATGAAAGTCAAACCATATCATCTCTCATCCCACTCTTGGGGGGTGGGGGGGAGAAGCCAGGACTTGAAAGCTTTATTTATCTTGCCCACTTTCTCACCTTCAGTTCTTATTCCTTTCTCACATGCAGTCCCAAAAAATGTGCAGTGGAATTTTGACCCAAGAATGTAACAAGAATTGTCTTTAAAATGCTAGCATCCTACTTGCACTGGAAAAACCTGAGTTAAAAATGATAGCAGGTTTTCTGAACAATTTTTTCTGACTATCGGCAAGCTGGGTCTATTTTACCAGAAATTTTCTTTGTTCCAACTGGGAAACCTTAGCTATGTGTATGTATGTCCTATGCATAGCCTCTAGCACTGTGATTTGAAACATGTTTCACAGTGGTGGGATTCAATTTTTTTTACTAGCGGTTCTGTGGGCGTGGCTTATTTGGTGGGTGTGGCTTTGTGGTCATGTGACTGTGTGGGTGTGGCCAACTCAATGTCACTCACGGCAAGGGGTGTCTCACCTGGCCCCTCCCCTCCCAGCCAATTCTTGTCACACCCAGCTTCAACATATCTATAGTTCTGTAAAACTGTTGTTCACCTTTTTTTGACTTTATTATCTACATACTATAGATGTACTTTCATGGACCACTGAAAGGAAAAAATGGCTCACATGCTTTGCCCAAGAGTGTGATAGGCAACAGGCTTTTAAGGGGCTGCTAGAAAGAAGGTGGGAACAATGTATTTTCCAGAGCATCAGAAGGCAAATAAGAAGAAATGGATGGAAACTGAACAAACAGAGAAACAACCTAAAAATAAGGAGAAACTTCCTAACAGTGAGAACAATTAACTAATGGACCTGCTTGTCTCCAGAAATTCTGGGTGCTCAATCACTGGAAGTTTTTAAGAAAAGACTGGACAGCCATTTCTCTGAAATGATATGGGTTCCCCCCAAGGTCCCTTCTAAGTGTTATTCTGTTATTCTGACACCTTTCCCAGGACCTCTACTCAGAGTTTGGCATCCTCAGTTTTTCTGCCTGAGCAGGGGGTTGGACTAGAAGACCTCCAAAGTCCCTTTCAACTCTGTTAAACACACATGTATTTATGCTCTGGACTATAGACACTGAATGCATGTATTGTAAACCCTGAAAAATACCTGGGCAAAAGAAAGGCAGTCTGTCTCTCTCCCTTCCTTCCTATTTTTCTTTCTTTTTTCCTATTTTTTTCTTTCTCTTTCTCTCTCTTTGTTTCTCTCCCTTCCTTTCTTTTTTCTCTTTCTTCCGATTTCTTTGTTTCTTTCTCTTTCTTTTTATCTTTCTTTCTCTATCCCTTTCTCCTTCTTTCTTTCTTGCTCTTTTTATTGTCTTTCACACACACACACACACACTCTCTCTCTCTCCCTTCCTATTTTTTCTTTCTTTTTTGTCTCTCTCTCTCTCTCTCTCTCTCTCTTTCACACACACACACACACACACACACACACAAAATACTCTCTGTGACACACGCACACATGGTCTGGAATGAACTGATCCGGCGAGCTCGAGAGCAGCAGGCTGTGGGAGAATGAAAAAAGCTCACAGAGGTGCTCTGGTGGGCAGCAGCAGCGGACAGCAGATGGCAGGGCTACTGGAAGCAGCCCCAGAAGTTCCCACCTTCCCTTTCGGGGCGCCGCCACTCACTCTGCCACCCACTCTCACACCCAAAATACTCTGCCCTTAGCAAAAAATACTACATTCACCATGCTCCCCTTGCAGCTCCCCAGGCCCCCAAAGCTCATCCGGCAGCTGTGCCTCCCTGCTTGCCCCTTGTCCCAATAGACAGCTGTGGCATGCACCTCTCCTGGCCCTGCTTCTTCACACCCGGGGTAGCCAGACCAAGCTGCACCAGCCACAACCTGCAACAAACCACTGCCTCCTCTGTCGCCCTTGAAGTCCTTGCCCCACGCTGCCCCACACCTTCACTGCTCATTAGGGAGGAACCAGAGCATGAAGCCTTTGCCTGCATTGCCCCTTCAACCTCACGCTCTACCCTGCCGATCAACTGCCCCCCCAAATTTCTCAATTCCCCACAATGAACGTCTAGAAAAATCTGTGTTCTTTTCATAATGCCATCCAACTGCAAAGGCCCCCATCAGAGCCTAGTCTCCAAATCCTGGGGGGAGGTCGGGGAGGCTGCTGAATCCCTCGGAGGAGCCTCTTTCTGCTCTGGAAAAGGGCAGCAGCTTCATCTGTCCAGTTGGTGTTATTGGAAGGAGAGGACCAGGAGGCACCCACCCCTTCTGACTTGGGAGGCGGGAAGGGACCCTCAGAGGGGGGCAGGGTCCCACAAGTCTCCTAGCCCTGTCCTGTTCCTGTCCTTCCAAGTGATGGGGAGCGGCTTCATCTCCATCCAGACCCTCACAGCCTCCAGGCATTGGGGGATGGTCTGGATGGCCTCACCTGACCGACTAGTCCTGCCAGCTCTCCCAGGTCTCTCTACCATGTGGTGGCTGCAGCACAATGAGTGGGGGTGGAGGTGCAAGAATCCTACTCAGGTATGGAGGAAGGAAAGCCCTAGCCTGCCCATTCTGGCTGGCAGCTCTGCTCCCCTTACTACTGGTTCAGCAACCCAGGCCAAATCCTTGCTTCTGGTTTGGATGAACTGGTGCGAACCAGCTGAATATCACCACTGATGTTTCATTAAAAATTACATCTTATGACTAATTTGTTATTGGTCCTTCTAGGCTGAAAGACCTTTAAGTAGGTTTCCTTGGACTGAAAACCCTGACCCCAATTCAACAGTTCATGTGCAAAAGTGGCTGATTCAGATGACCAATTTTTGACTAATTTTTGCATAAGGCTTCTCAGTTCTTTGAAGTATGCCACATCAAAGAAAGACCACAAGGAGTACTAGAACACTATTTTATTGTTTTTAGGTGCCGTAATCAAATCTTGAAGACTGACAGAATTACCTTTTGCCTTTCTTGTATTAAAGAGAATCAAAATGAGGATATATTGAATTTATTTCTCATCCACTCTTTTTTCCCATGACCAATTTTACTCAATTTTTTTGCATCACTTCTTCAAAGTTAGCTTCATATTTCTCTAGAGGGCTGCAATATGTGATTCCCAGTACTCTCTGCACTGATGGATATTACCTAGTTTGATAATGAAATGTCTGCAAGAAATAACCAAGCTCAGTGAGCACCAAGGATCATACCTCCCCATAATCTCTTAATGTATAAAATATAGTTAAATAAATCCTTAACTTCTAGAAATCATCTGATCAAATAAGCTTTTTACATTTTGCTGACTGTCTGCACAGATTTTCTTTGCTAAAAAACAAATGCTGAATTGATATCATCTCAAAGTAAATATGCTTTGAGATGTTAAGAGCATTTGAATACATGTTTTGGGGATAGTGATATAAGGAAGCGATAACAGATTCTGTGTACAGCCATTTACTGATGCTGGGCAAATCTAATATAACTGTAAATTGGCTTCCAAAACTTGAGGCTTAGGGAATTGTAATGCAACACATTTGAGAGCAGAAAATTAAGTAGAACTGCAGCAAATTAAGAAAAAAAAAAACAAGAAAAAAATACTCTATAAATACAGTACCCTCATAAGTTAGCCATTCAGCCAAAATAAGGTATGTTAATGTATCACCAGGAGCAATGTACCTTTAAGATGGGTATGAGCACTTCAATGGGAAGTGGCCAACACCAGTTGGCCCAAGAAAGGGTAAAATTGGGAATGGATGCTGATCAGAAATCAGATGCTGCATTGGGGTCTCTCAGAATGTCATAATCAAGCTTTTAGATCTGTATTTTCAAATTACACCTCCCCAACATTTGACACTCCCACCCCCATTTTGGCTGCAGGTGCCTTGTGAAGTGGTTGGAAGTTCGATGTGTTTGTCCTATGTGCAATAAGCCTATAAGAGGTCCCTCAGAGCCTCACCAAAACATTGGAATTCTCCTGGATGAACTAGTGTGACCATCTTCCGGCCTACATCCCCCCCCCCCAAAAAAAAATAAAGAACCTTTACTGACACTGATTATTGCCTTGGGATTGTGGACTTCAACATGCAGTCACAGTCTGAGATTGTTTCCAAGTGGATGTTCATCTTAACCTTCTCAGAAGGCAGAGTGGACCATTCTGAGTGCCAAGATGGAAAGCAAGCTGGCCTTGTTCTTCATCTACCATCTGGGAGCCATTTCTGGGGAAGACTAATCAGAAGTGCATGGGAATCTTTATTTCGGAAATGACTAACCAATGAAGGACTTGAAACAAGAAAGTCTGAACTTTCCCAGGATGACCCTGGTGAACAATTGAACTCTAGTGCCAGGTTTCCACAACTGGTTGTTGTGATGCCAACTGTGAGATCAAAGTCTTCCCTTCTTCTAGGACTTGGTCAGAATCCACAGATGGCAATATATCCTCTCCCATTTCTAATGAGATCTTTCTTTTTATAGTAAGTCAGCTCCTGCCATTTGGGTTGTCTTTATTTCTGCTCCTTAGGGATCCCTTCTGCAATTTGAAAACAAGATATATTGCTGACTTCGGCTAGATCCCTCTCTGCAAAATCTATGTTTACATAAGAGTTAAGCAGAAAGCTTTCCCATGGGCTGTAGAAGGGGCACCAATCAGCTAACACCATCGACCCAGCAAAGCTGCAAAGAGCCCACCTTCTCCAATATTGTGGAGAAAGGGAGCCACATTGTGGCATTTGGGTCACCCCTAGAGGTAGTGAAGTGATGAAGGTAGGGGCATGAAAACTCTTCTCATAGCTTTCAGAAGATGAGTGGGACTATTTTCGTAAGTGGCCTTTTAACTGTTTTTGCCTATTCTGTCCTTGTATAGAAAAATAAAAGTACTTTCTCTGAAGATGGATTTTTTTTCCTTTTGATTATGTGTTTGCAACATGAATAATCACTTAGCAAGAAGGAGGGATGAGGGCAACATTAAAGAGTTGAAACATATCACTTTCTCCCAACACACACACACACACACAAACATAATTGCACCTACTAGGACTACACAAAGGTTCAGATATGATACTCAGAAGATACTCTGGAGCATATGGAGGTAAGAACATAGCTATGTACACAACTTTAATACTCATCCATCCCCAGAAGTAGAAATGCAGCTCAGCTACCAAAATTTCCTACATGAAACCCTGGGAAGCTATAATTCTAAGTATATTTGCATAATACAGTGACAAACTAAACACATTTTAGCCTAGGATGTTTTGCAAATTCAACCTATGATGGGGTTTCTTAATTTAATGTAATGTACAGAAAATTGGATTAACAGACTAAATTAAGGTTACGTTACTCAAGTAAAACAGCTCTTTTCCTCTAGTTTCAACATTTGCTATCTACATCGGCATTGAGAGTCAGGCAGCACGTAAATGTAAAGAAATAATTTTTCTTGACAGCAATGCAAAAGTGGTTATCACTGCTGCTCCTTGAAAATTTTTAGAGATTTTCCATCAAAGTATTAGTCCTTTTAACATGTATGAAGGTGAATTATGTGCTGGTCAGTCATCCTCTTTAGCAGATTAAAATTTGATCCGTGAGAAAACAATATAAAGGTAAGAAAAGTGTATGAGAGAGAAGGAAGAATAGAAAATAAGTCACAGATCTAAATCTAGAGAGCTTGCTTCATCTGAATGAGGTCCTTCATCTGAATGAGGTCCCTAAGGTCCTCAGCAGAACTTTCATATAAAAGTCTGCTTAATACGGTATTGAAGTTTTAAAGTGTAGGGTGAGTTCTGATTTACATTGTGCTGTTAAAAAACTAAAAGACATATGAACATGAAACATGAGACACCTCTAGAAGCATGCCTTGTTTGGTGAAGACAGGGGGTGACTAAACCAAAACAGAGCTTCTTTAAATGAAACATGGAGACAGAAATTCTGACTGCAACAAAGGTATTTTCAGACACATTTAAAGAGATATCTACATTAAGCTGCTCCTTTTGGGGGGGGGGGGTAGGTGCCTACTGTGCATTGGAAATGCTTTGTTTCCTGCTGTGCAAAGCAGAAAATCATAGAATAGTACTCATGTTTAATTCAGACATGCATAATTATTTGCTATCATTCACAACCAGTGGACCACATAAATATATACTCAAGATCACAGGGCAGAACCAGAAGCCATATATCTTGAACATTTTTTCTGTGTCTTGGGACAAAGGAATTGCTTTTTAACAATGTTGCATTTGTACTCAGTGTTCTGTGCAGAACAATGAACTTGGCAAAAGTTATTATCTTGTTATCCTTCCTAAACGTGAGATAGATTTGATTGATATCACCTGGCCAAATATCAGCTGTCAACTCATAAAACATTTCTATGCTTGTTTTAGAGTTGCCATGAACAGAAGGGGGGGAAAAATCTGAAAGAGCAGTGCAGCAGTTTGGAACCAAAAGTGCATTCCATTCTTATCTTGCAAAGATTATAACTAAGCTACCAGAATTTCTGCACAAAAATTTCTAATTGGAGAACACGATTGATGACTTTTGGCTATAAACACTTCAGCTGGAGAATATGAATTATGATACACCCAGAGGGGTGGGGGGAAACCAGGGTCAAGGGTGACAGTGAATTACATGTCTTAGAATTGGCCTTATACAGACATGCTCTAATAAATTATTTGAAGTTTGGCTCCAACACTCTCTTCATAATTGTTAAAATTCTAATGCATAAAAGTCTAATGTAGATAGCATGTCTTCAACACTTCTCCTGTTTAAATTTAGATGATTTTCCTTCGTTGCCTGTCACTAAAGTCTCTAAGTTTTAACGGGCTCATATAAATACAAATAAATCATATAAAAATTGCCAGTCATTTCCAGATTAAACCACATTTCTATAAGGTGATGCTTGATTTAATCGGTCCTACTACACCCACTGTGCTCAGAAAAACCACAACACACCTGCTGAAAATCAAGTAATTCGCTTGCTTAAAATAAACAATACAGAGCATCAACAATTAACAAACTGAAATAATATGAAATAGGATATCAGCAAAAATTAAAGCATACGCTAAAAAAGACCGCATAATTCTACTTCTCAACTAGAAAAACTCCTCCGGTCTTTGTCAGTTGGGTTCTGTGCCCCGTCGTAACATTTGGGACGGCACATCTCACGCATGCGCATGAACACCCCACTCATCACATAAAAGAACCTGAAGGATCAAGAAACATTACCCGGAAACCACGCTAGCAAAGCCATACCGCCGGCTTCCAGGTTATGATGATCCCACTTTTAACCATCCTGACCCATATTTAGAATACTGTGTTAAAAACAGAAGCAGCGCCCCTTGGATTCTCTCCTCTGAGTCTTCGTGTTTCTTGTTTCCCCACAGAAACCATAATCGGGCACTCTCATTACTGTGTGCTAATATATTCGCCGGCAGCCCCGCCCCCGGATACTCTTGGCAATGGAGGGGGGCTGATTTTCAGGAAAGGGCCCAATGATTAAGGGAAGGCGGAAGTGTCAAACATTTGCAGTCCTAGGAGAGGAAACTGCAATAGAACCAGCTTCGATTGAGGAAAGCGACATATGAAAACAGTGAGGAGAAAACGGCGGAGCCGCCGAGGAAGCCGTACGGAAGCTTAGAGAAAATATAGACTGATTCACAGTCTTAATTTCCGCTCAAACCCGAAAGTGTATGTTTCGACCCTTATGAGCCTCGGTACACGCAGAATGAAAAGAAAACGCTTCTTTTCCTATGTTTTTGGGTTAAAGGAAGACATAGTTTATGGTGGACCCAAAGTGAAGAACTACCGCTCTTCGGCCTCTTGACCATTTACGTCATACTTTTTTCCTGTCACGTAACACTGCTTTCTGTTTTCCTATCTCCGAGGAAAGAAGATTAAATTTCCGCTTCCGGCGGAAAGCGGAAATCCGTATGGACTTCCGTTCTGCTGCAGCTGGGCCGCTTTTGCGCTTCGTTGTGCGGGTTTCGCAAGGAGTGAGCCTCTCTGACGTATTCGGCTTGAGTCCGGATGGCGCTGGGAATGATTCGAATTGAAAACCAGAAAATTCGAAGAAGGAAGCCCGGACTTTAAATTTGGGAGACAACCGGGACTGCGAGGCGGGGACTCGGGAGGAGAATCAACGGGAAACAGCGGGAGTCGGCGCTGGGGGAGTGCGAGGCCTTCAGAGGCCGCTATGTCCGAAGACAAGGCCCGTCCCAGCCCTGCGGGGCAGCACCCCTCGGTGGGTCTTGCCACAGGGAACCTGGGAGACCCTGCTTCTTCCCCAGCAGAACAGGTTCTCCCCCATTTCTTGCGAATTTTTGGAAGTGGGACTCCCTGTACAGCCAAGCTGGGGCTCGTCAGAGACCTCTCAGCCCTGCTAGAAGCTGCGGACACTAGGTGGCTGCTTGGGGCCACTCCGGCCCTGCTTCAGGAACTGGTGATTGTCCTGAGTCGCTATGCGGCGCCTCTCCAGTGGGAACCAGAGGGAGGATCCCCCAGTGAAGACCCTTCTGGTGCAGCAGGAGCTGAGCGAGCAGCAGAAGTCAGCCTGGTTTTCTGCAACATCCTGGCCAAAGTAGAAGGGGCAAAAGACCTGGAGGGATTGGACTCTGCAGTAACTGGCTCAATCCTTTGCCAAGTGGCAGGACCCATCTTCATCTGCGCAGTGACCCATGGGGCAGAGAGACCATGGACACAGCCCAGGAGTCAGTGTGGGGCTCAGGAGCTCTTGAACACTCTGTTGCGTGTTTTGGAGTATAAATCAATACCCGAGTTCCTCAGAGGCACATGTGAAGGTGAACATGGCTGGTTTGTTGTGGTGATGCAGTGCCTGAAGCCAGAACTAACGAAGTGAGTGAAAGCCCAGTGTTGATCTCCGGAAACAAAGATATAGGTCCCATTGTAGCCTAAAATAAAGTCTGAAATGTCCTTCAGTACAGGTAGTCCTTGACTTACAACAGTTCATTTAGTGGCCGTACAAAATTACAGCGGTATTGAAAAAAGTGACATGACCATTTTTCACACATTTGTAGCAGCAC